AAAAAAAAAAAAAAAAAAAAAAAAAAAAAAAGCAATCCCAGGTGCCTTCATTGACAAAATTGTTTGGCAAAGAATCCCACACTTACAGGGATTTCATTTTCACAACTACCAACTGTGCTGTCCTTTGTCCTTCCTTCACACTTGATCTTCTCTTTCTCCTCAGGAGTTGCACAAAGATCAGAATTTATCTTTCCAAATGGAGCTTTCTTGAAATTCCAACAGCTGTATTTCTAGATTTTAAAAATCTAACCAGTGATAGATTTTATCAGGAAAGATCAAGTTCTTCAAATTTAGCTTTATCTGGAGAAGTGAGGTTGTCTCCATTCTACAAAACAAAATCTGTTAACAAAATTCTCCTATGCAACTGCTACCATGCTAAAAAATTCCTTGTAAATGTCCTGATGGTTTTTAGGATTCTCTTCAAATGTAGAAGTTTCTAAATGTATATTTCGACTTGGAAAGCATTTCAGCTGCCCACTTTCAAGGTCTGGGGCAACTTGGCTCGAATGCAGAGAGAGGGCTCAGTGTGCCCACTGTTGCATGTGTGTGCTAGATTCACCACCACTGATCTAGGGTATGTGATTCTGGGATTAAGGGTGCAAGGTGTTAAAATAATCCACTGCTTGATTTAGAGTAGTTCTGGGTATAGATAATGAGAAGCTACACTCTGGGTATGGGTGGTACCACCCAAAAGGCTGGAAGCTTGGATGGGATAAAAAGGAAGGGGAGGCTTGCTTTGCCACTTGCTGCTTTGCTGCCTGCTGCCTGCTTTGTTTCTCCTCTCACATGCCACCCTGACTTGGAGCCAGCTATTGACTGAAGCCTCTACAAACTGTGAGCCAAAATAAACTTTTTCTCCCTTAATGTATGGGTATTGGGAAAGGTGACTGAGACGGGCCTGTGGCAGCACTGTACATTATAAGAGGAGTACACAGCTTCTGGGAAGCACACAGAGAAGGGGGATAGGGACCCCAGATCCCATAAAGGGCATGCTCTCGGTCAGCTAACTTCCCTCCACAGGCTCCACTGACTGAGGGTTCCACCAGCCCCTGGTGAAGCTACAGGTTGGCAATCAAGCCTTTTAGCATATAGGCCTTTCAAGGACATTCAAGGTCCAGACCCCAATACTTACCTTTCCCCAGCATCTCCACTCATTTCTAGTAAGAACACTTACCTTTCTTCTCCAGTACTTGTCCCTTTCTTACCTATGATGAAATTGAGTGCTCCAGGTGACCTTACTCTGGCAAAACTAGATTATTCCTGTGGGTTCAGAGGATCTGATGGCTGCTCTCAGGCTGGAGCCTGAATTTGGCCTGGAGTAGCCAATACTGTGTTGCCCTCCAGCTCATCCCACTTTGGGGTTGGGCACAGTGCTGGAGTTTGAGGAGAGGCCTGGTTCAGGACAGAGGCTAAAGCCAGCTCCCTAGATAGCTGCCATGGCCCACAGGACAGACCCCACTGGCTGAGCTGGTGCTTGGCTCTCGTGTTGTCAGCCTGTTCTTTGCTTCTGTAAGAATCTTCTGCTAAGACAGATCAACTGGGCAGAGACACCGGATTCCTGCCTTCCCACTTCCCCATTCCTAACAGTTACCGTCTCCAAAACTGTAGCATCCTTATTTTATAGAGTATAAGCTAAAACTGCAGAACAGTGTGAACACACCCTTCATGGTTCCCCTCCGTTTGAATCTTGTACTTTGAATGACTAAATGTACATCTCATTTCCAAGCGAGTGATAACTTTGAGGTGTGATCAAAATTTGCAGTGAATGTTTAAATTTGTTTTATGTATTACAGTAAATAACACAATGCCATTAATTGCCTTCAAAATACCACCTTTGCTTTGAGCACACTTATCTTCTGAAGCAGTTCTGAAGTCTCTGCGGGGTGTGATGGAGAACAGCAAATGCTGCTGCAGGGTGGCATCCAGCAGAAAGTCAGCCTGTTGTCCACATCCGCCCTGTCCACCTGATCTGCCTCTGTGCGCTTCAGGCTCTTCCTCAAAGTCAAAGTGACCACAGAAAGTAAATGCTTGGAATAGATTCCGCCACGATGGCCTAACTAAAGGCACAAAGAGGACTTCCGGCACGGCTCGAGAAAGTGACAAGAACGGTAAGTGTGTTCAAAGTGGGGAAGGGTAGTTTGAGGGAGAGAAATGGCAATTATCTTTTACTGCAATCTTTCAAAATTGAAACATTCCCTACATATTTATCATACCTCCCTGAAAAAAGAGCTTTATAAATATTTCTTTACAGGGACATTCTTTGATGAAATTACTTACTTTGAAATTCTGTTACATCGAGCTCTCACTGTGTACAACTGCTATGCAATTCAAAACTTTGTCCTTCTTAAGGGCACTTTGCTTCATTGTACTGCTGGTCTAACTTGAATGCATAACTGTTGAAGTGAGAGCCATCCAGATGCTGAACCAACACAGCCCAAGGGCTATTCACAGGATCCTGCATTCTGACTGGGGTGCAGACCTTGTATCAAATTTTCACAAAAATCAAATTCTGGAGAAAAAAACTGTATTTTTTTACCTGAGAAGTTATCTCCTCTTTCCTCCTTCATTAGAGAAATGTGTTAGAACAAGCAGCTTATCTATGCTAAGAATTAAGAGAGTTTAAGCATTAATTGTAGCAACACATTAAGTTTAGGAATACAGTAGACCCAGAATATGAGCTAAAAAGAACCCAAAATCTTCATCGCACTCAAAGGCTTAGATTCAAAAGATTTTATTCTGGAAGCATTCATTGTTTGGCTCCAAGTTATCCTCAGATTCCTCCAGGGATAGGATTAAATAGTTCCAAAAGAAACCGAGGCCGTATCACCTGGAGTAAAAGTCAGACTTCATTAACACTGAAAGTAAAGTCTGACACACGAATTGAAGCCCGCCCAGCAAAGGTGCTCCTCTGTACCAGGTCCTGACCCCAGTGATTCAGAGGCAAGAAGCTAGAAGTGGCCACTTTCCTGGCAGAGACTTCAGGAACCCAGAAGTGTCAGAGGCAGGAAGTACACAGCAAAGCTGGACATCTTCAGTTATTCAAGGGTGGCTAATTTTCTTCTCTGAAATATAGCAGCAAAGAAGGTCATGGAACTTAGCTTCCCACCAATGAACAAGTGAGACTATTCCTCAAAGGAGTTCAGGTCAGAGGTGCTGATGGATCCACCCTCAACAGCCAGAAAGCGTGAGTCATGCCCCAGCCACTGTTTGCTTACTCGTTACTTAACAGGTCAGGGCTCCACTGACCTCCAAGGAACCATTTGGTTGGTTACTTTAAAATCTCACTGTTGGCAACAAAGTGAGGCCGTAGATACGTAAAGATCCAAAGCTTCAAAGGCAAAAGTTGAAATTACAGGCAGCTTTGTAACTTAGAGGCGCTTGGTCAGGTGTGCAACTACTTCCCTCAATCACTCTTAAAAAGGCTGAAGTGTTACACCAGGGAGACAGCTGTTCTCCAGCCCCATTTACCAAATGGAAACTTTCATTTTCTGTGACTCTCTAGAGTGAAGCCTCTAGACTTAGGACTTACTATTAACACCTTTGTTGGAAGATTTTTGACTTGGAAAATAATCTTGTCTTCTGTGGTTCCTGTTTGAATCTGTTTACTTCAGTCGTGTGAGTCTGCCCGACACTGAATACGGTTAGTATCCTTCCTGATGTGATTCTACTTTAGAAATTAAAAGTTTTAAATTGAAGAAAGAATTACTCAAATTTTAAAAGAATGACTAAAAACCAAAACCTTATTTGATGACGTTTCCAATCATTATTATACTGTATTTAGTTTAAAACGGTGCTGGTACTAGCCCTGTGGGTAAGATGAACTGTGAAGTAACTACAGCTAACCGTTACAGTAGAGTGACCATTCCCGTACAGAATCTTTAAACCTCCCACTGGCCTGTTTGATGTCTGCCTGTCTTACTGGTGTGCAGCATTTTTGTTTCTCCCAGGCCTACTTTCAGCCAGAAAACTCGGTAAAAAGTTTCATCTACATAAAGTCTGTAATATAGTAGGCCACCCAACCTGAACAAATTCAACACCTATTTCAGCAATTCAACACGTATTGCAAATTGAGCAACCACTATGCTGTGAAGCGTTAGTAAGTGTTAAGCACTGGTAAGCATGAAGAATAAGGTGAGGTCACCTTCCCATCACTGCCCTTTGTTGGGGACAAAATACCCAGCAGTTGAGATCTGAGCTGTAACATGTACCTGTCCTTTGAAGGTTAGTTTAAATAAATAACATTAACCTGTTGGAATGTGAAAGGCGAGGGCAGGGAAGGTCTGATGAAGTGGTCTGTAGGGTGAAACCTGAAGCAAGGAGTCCTCGTTGGTCAGCCAAGAACCGCATGGAGGGTTTTGTTCCTTTGAGGACTGAAAGGCGGCGCCATGAAGTTGCAGCTGGACGCACAAGGCCATGCAAGGGAGTTTAGAAACCATAAGAAGAGTTTTGGTGATGTGGTCCTAAAGCGCAATGAAGGGATAATGTCCATTAATATAAATCTGAAATCGCTCAGTATTTGTGCACGTGCATTCTTAATACTTTGGATTACAAGCGATCTGTTTTTATGATTTGGGGGAAGATGGCTGTGGTCATGTTTGTCCCCTGATGCAGAGTTTGCAAACAGAAGCAAAATTTTGATGAATGCTTTTGTTTGTGAATTGAATTGTTTGCAGACAGAAGCATTTGTGAGCTATTACTGTATTTAAATAAAAAAATTTTTTAGCAGTACTGAAGAGTGAACGTAGGACCTTTATGCTGAGCTACACCCCTAGCCTTTTTTTTTTTTTTTTTTTTT